ATCATTCTATAGTTCCCAAGCTTTTCTGTACGAGTATATCATGGGAGTAAACCCCCCGAAAAGGGTAGCCCTCAGACCTGCAGAACGATTTGCTCTTCTGCAACATAGGTGCGAGATAACGTTCACCATGGCCTCTGCTCTCTCTTGGCGGGTTTGTGATGAAAAACTGCTGGGGCTGGGTACCTACAATTTCCAAAGGCCCCCCCCCAACATAGGTGCGAGATAACGTTCACCATGGCCTCTGCTCTCTCTTGGCGGGTTTGTGATGAAAAACTGCTGGGGCTGGGTACCTACAATTTCCAAAGGTTCCCCCCTCTTATGAACTGACAAACAAATAGGCTGCTGGGTATTGCCTCCCATTGTTCGCAAAAGAGAGAGTCTTCGCCCTAACCCTGAACTGACACCACTTCCTCGTTATTTAAAGTGAACAAGAAACCCTAGCTTTTATCAAATGACCATCTCTTATTGTTTGGTCTGTGCTTTGCTGGAACCTGCTCGAGTCTTGTTTTGCTGGCTATGAAAAGGGTTTTTGTTATGAAACCTGTTGTTAAAAGGGACATTTCTAAGGTTTAACAGTCTTAGCAGATTTAGTGTAAAAAGAAGGAGGTGATATACCATGTTTGAACTAAACATGTTTGGAGCATCTTAGGTAGCTGTCCAGGAAGATAAGGGAAAGAAACCATAGAATGGGAGGGCCCAATCAAAGCACCAAACACATCTTTTCTAGTAATGTTTTACTCACCTCAGTCCATCATCTGAGTCTCTTGCTGGTGTGGGGGACCGGTAAACCAAAGGTGCAGATGTGCCCATTCCAGCTGATCCCTGATAGTCCCCTGTTGCTGACAGCACCACAGAGACTCATGCTCTGGATGCTCAGAGGAACCCTACCACTGGACAGCCAATAGGAAGTGTCCATGTCACGCAGACAGTGATATGGGCACTTGAGGAAGGACCCCACCTTCTGAACACAGTAGAAGGAAGACCAGAACATCACCTGGCTGCAGATTTAGGAGAGTAAAATGGGCATTTCCCTAGGTTCTGTTTTTTTTTTAATGCCAGTGATTAGTTATTAGGGGAGGGGTGGGCAGCATGTCAAAGTGGGAGTTTAAGGGCATCCATGATAGAAGGATAGATGTTGACCTCAAAAGAATTGATACATTATCTATTAAAGCCCATCTCTGAGCAAAAAAGTACCCTTGCAGTGGGGCGACCCTTTAACAGAAGGGGCCGGAATAAATCAGATTTACTTACCTGAATCCCTCTCCCCCGGTGGTCAGCATTCTCACCTCTTCTCCCCCTCTGTTTCGGCTAGTGCATTGTCCCTCAGTATCCTCACATGTAATGCAGGTCTATGGAATCTGCATTAGACGTGATGACATCTGCGGTCCTTAGACTGCCAGAGCGAAAGGGAGAAAAGGCTGTGGGGACCGGTCTAGCAGCCCAGAGGGAGCCTGGGGATCAGCTAAGTAAAACAGCTTTATTCTAGCCCCCTAGGCATGAACGAGCACTTACCCTTGCAGTGTGGGGGTTACCCCACGTATAGGGTACTTTTTTGTTTGCTAGGAGATGGGTTTTAAAGCTATCCACTAGTACCAGTTAAGCTATCCACTGATACCAGTTAAGCCGGCTTCCCAGCCAATCAGCATCGAGTCGGCTGTTCGGACAACATCTAAACCAGATAATCCTGCTAGAGTGCTATGCGCAATGCGGGTGTCCATGCGCAGGATCAGTGGCACTTATGCTGCCATTACTATGGCAACGTGTAAATTAAATGACTGCCTTCTAGATCAGTGGGTGTACTGCGGCTCCATCGCATGTGCAACTAGCACACTCTAGAAGTGAACCATTTTGCTTACACTGTGCCATAGTATCAGTGATGTAAGCGCTGAGGGAACGGCAGCGCTTACATTGTCGTCACTATGGCAATGTGCATGCCAAATGAACCTTGTCATAGCGCATGCCCTTACTGTGGCAACTTTTGAACAAAATGATTCCCTAGTAGATCGCTGGGAGTGCCACTGATCCATCACATGCAACGTTCTGGCGGAGAATCATTTTATTTACATGTTGTCATAATATTGGCAACCTAAGCGCAGTGGGATTGGTGTTGCTGTGACTATGGCAGCGCAAATGATCCCGCTAGAGCGATGGGTGTGCATGTGTGGGAAATGAGGCCCAGTTCACACCAGAAACTGCATCACAACTGCGTGGGTCTGTTGCACTGCAATCCGTTTTGATGCGTTTGCAATGCGTTCTTTTTCTGCACTAGAAAATGCTAATTAGACAATTAGGTCACTTCCTCTTCCTGTCAGAGTATTTCCTACGTTTGTTTTGGAGATCAGACATGCTTTCTTTGTTGGCTGGCATGGTGCTAGTGTTGACTATAGCCATTCTCCGACAACGCCTTCGCAGGCGACGTCGACATTGGGTGCACCAGGATGTTTGCTGTCGGGGACAGTCCTGCATCCACAAATTCCATCTCTTTACTTTCTCTCCACACTACAAAGAGGAAGTCCCTGGGTGATGACATAATCAATTCTGAGTCTTTTTTTTTTGTACGCGTTCCGTTGCAGTTTGATGGAAGTAAAATAGGACAAGCAGTACTTTTTCTGACTGCATCTGAACGGTCTGTGTGAATTAGGCACAAGAAAGCCCATAGGAAAGCATTGTGATGTATTTTGACTGCTGCAGTCAAAATAAACGGACTGCATCACAACTGCATATGGTGTGAACTGGCTCTGAATGCCACGAAACCCGCACATGCACCTCCAGTATAGCCAACATCATTCTCACCCAGGCAAGAAATATACGGAAGCACAGGGACGGGAAGATGAAAAGATGGCATTTACCAGAACAAAATAAAACAATTACAGTGAAGGTCCACTTAACTACCATAGGAGGTGTACATCCTGATCCTGACTATTCCAAGATCATGGCTGCCGCTGTACCACTGATCTTGGGATTGTTTTTTCCAGCAGGCAAAGGGCTTTTGAGTACAAGTGATCTGGGAGGCTATACAGTCACCCGAGCACTTGGATGGTCCTCCAGAGGTGCCGCACCTCCTGCCATGGTTTCCAGGCTCTCCTGCATGGGGGCCCAGGACCACAGCAAATGCACTCAGGATGGCAGACAGGAGGAGATGAAGAAACGTCCGTTTCCTGATCTGCCCTACGATTGCTGAAGTAGGAAGTGATGTGCTCTCAGTACTTCCTGCTTCAGAGCTGTCTCAAGCCTGGCGGGTAAAGAGATAACCAAGTACAATCCTGTGCTTGACTGTTTTGCAGTAGAGACATTAGGGGTCTAATAGACCCCTGACCTCTCCATAAAGAGAACCTGTCACCTGCAAATGCTATGACATAGGGCCTTGTTAGCCCCCTTGTGATAGCAATTAAATTAAGTGTAAAAAAAATAAAATAAAAGCAACTCCACCGTCCTTGCAACCTATATGTGAATGCAAACACGCACATAGGCCACACACGTGTATGTAAACCTCAACTGCGCCACACAGGTATTAATTTTAGGGCCATAATTCGCTGGTAGAGTGATATTAAAGTCAAATGCTGATGAAATCACTTACAATGGATGCTGCTGCTTGATGTTTAAACGTTTTAGATTCCTGCAGAATCAGCTGCTCCCCTGAGCTCTGGCCCTGATATCCTGTTTTAGGGTGGCTCCTTTTCCTTGCAGGGTCCTATGGAGTCACCCTTGTGTGTGCTAGTAAGCTGTGCATGTCTACACAAACACAGGAAATCAAGCTACTTCCCTCCCCGTGGCCCCCTTTCTCTAAGCTAGTAGATGAACGGTTGCCGGGGTCTGCCCTTCCCCTTGTGATCTTGTACTGGGCAGGAAGATCAGGGAAGCTGAGCAGAGGGACTTGGAAGCAACTGTTCAGAAACATGATCACTGTAAGTATTTGAACAAAAATATAAAGAAATACTTTGCTGGGCGATGTATATTTGTTTGATCCGGATTCATTATTAAAAACAAAGTTTGAGATTTTAATACTACTTTGAGGGCCCATTCACACCAATTACGGTGCGTTCCAGAGCGGTAGCTGCTGTAATGCACAGCAATCGCTCACTAAACTCCCCTTTTCGTTCCGGGGCGGGAGGGGGCATTGAAGTGCGATCCGACGCGTGGCAAAACATTACCTGTGTTCCGTTCCACTTCGAATGCAAAAAAATGCTGCATGCTCTATTTTTTACATTTGCAGTGGATGGGAACGCGGGCAATGTCCCTCCTGCCCCATAATGAAGAAGGAAGTTTAGTAAGCGATTGCTCTGCATTCCAGCAGATACCGCTCTGAAATGCACCAGAATTGGTGTGAACTGGCCCTGAAGGTCGCTTGCGGCCACATTGAGTGGGGCAACTCGGATTAATAATGGATTAGTCTGAACCTAGTTCATTGTAAAACTTTATTGCCGTGTAGAATGTGTATAGGGAAATGCCGCAGGTGGCGCACGCGTGCAGTGCAGCCTTCTCGGCCAAACCTCTTACTTCTAACTAAACCGGAAGTCAGGTCGTTGGAGATCTCAAGGAGTTGCAGTTTTCGATAGAACACCGGCTTTGTATTATTTGCATACTTTATTTCTCTTTTGTTTCCTAGTCCTTTGACAGTGGCCATTTTTACTGAGGGCAGACTTAATATATCTCCTTACACTTCCTGGAACTCTGGCACGTGTGACTAGGACATGTGACACTGCACTTGATCTTAGGGGAGGGAAAAAATTTACATTTTTAAAGTGCATGTAAAAATGTCACCGGTAATTAAGTGGTAAAGCACCTAACCCCCTCTCACCAAACTAACAGGCCAGAAAACTGACATTTTGGGGGGGGGGGTTAGATATTGACAAACGACATCGGGGAATTTCTCCACGCAGCCAGCTACTCACCGCGCACACTAAGCCGCTGACGTGAACGAGGCGGGAAAGCCAGAGCGAGCCGGCTCCTCCTCCTCCTTCGACTAGCAACACCACGTGACCCAGCGCCAGCCCTGCGAACACGCCTCCCAGGGAGTCACGTGCGCCCCTGGCCGCTCCCGTCGTAGACCCCGTGCTGCTGCTGGTAGAAGGAGCCTGGCCGCCGCCATTTCGGGGAGTCGCAGGTTTGCCATTAGACGGCCTTCGAGTCATTTTACCGCCCTTACTCTGCACTCCGCCGCCTCAGCTCTCGGCCTGGTCTCTTCTCTTCTTCCACCACCCCTCCCTGGTCACCCCTTTCCTTCGCCTCATACTCGCTGCTCTGCCAGCTGTGTAACGAAGCGCTCTTCTCTTTGTAGATCCATCGCCATTTTCCTTCCGACCGTAAACAAGGCCGAGGCCTAGCTTTGACCACTCCTGACAGAGGTTCGCTTCTGGTAAGTCACCCGTCTTCTGCCAGCACCCGCCTGCGTGTGTGGCGACGCTGCGGCCTACTATTGATCTTCGCTGTGTGTTTTGGCTGTTCCCAGCACATGTGTGTCTGTAACGTGCGTTATTCGGTCACCAGTGTAACTATAACGAACGGTGTTTATTGACCAGTATAGTAAGCTTAATTTGCAAGCTGGACACGAAAGTGTTAGAAATAACTAATTTAAAAGGTTTTATCTGGGAGCCAATGGGATGGTGTATACTGGTCACGTGGTTGAAAGTAAAGATCGCACTGCTTGTTAATGCTCTGAGGTCATCTGTGCTGAGTCTTGCTGGTAGTGTAAACAATGGGGGGAATTTATCAAAGCTGGAGCAGTTGCCCATGGCAACCTATCAACTACCATTTGCAAAGCTTAACTGAACAGACTGGAGATTACTATGGACAACTGCTCCAGATTCTGTCTGCTCCAGTATTGATACATTCTCACCAGTGTGTGTTTTGGCGTGCTTATGTCTGCACAGCATTTAGATGTGTACGCATGTAAACCCGTTCTATTGGATTTTTTTTAACTGCTTTATTACAGGCCAGTTATGCCAGTAAGTTCCTCTCTGAATGCAGGTGCTGCTTGGAGCTTTGCTTTATGTCCATGCATGCTGATCTATAATACGGATCTAGATGCCAGTATATGCATGCAGTGGCTGAAATAAAATGCGTTCAGAGGCATAAAAAAAGATGATTAATGTGTCTTAGTGATTGTTTTTTTTTCTCTGCCTCTTGTGTGAGGCCTTGTGTGTCTGGTTAGTGCTCAGAGGACATGTCTGCTCCATAATGGCAGATGTTACTCAAGATACACGTGTGGAAAAGTGTGTGTGTGTGTATATATATATATATATATATATATATATATTTTATACACCCGCATCTTGAGTAACAGCTGCATCTCTCTATCTCAGTGTGTGCTTGTTCCTAGAAGTCCCACTTTTAGAATTGAGCAGCCCATGGGCCTTATGGTGGGATGTCTTGCATCTTTGGTGTCATTTATCATCAAGAGGACACTCAGCTGTAACCTTCATGATGATTGGCACAACCATGTTTGAGCGTCATGAATGTTGTAGGCCTCACTCACGCTGTTGTGTCATACACGCTGTTATATGACTTTAAAGGCCATGGAGTATGTTCCTTTTGCACACCGTACTGGAATCAACCCTGTGATTTTAAAAGGTTCTGCAATGCTTCCCATGTATAACATGGAAACGTTATCACACACTGACTAGCTTGTTTTAAAACTTCATTATTACCTTATCACATTGTACAAAAAAAAATGTTTTGGGACCTTTCTTTAGGCTACATGATTTATCTTAACATGTCTGATCCAGGGCTTGTTCACACCAGCAGCTGCAAATCTGCTGGTGTGCGTGTGCTGATAGGCTCCATCAAGCCGCATCCCACTGTTTGTTTTTTTACTTTATTGAAATGTCGCATGTGACATTTCATTAAATTATACGGGCTCACTGTGGTACGATGTGGTTGTACCATGTTTCACTGACTTAAACATGGTACAACCTAAAAAAGAAGAAAGTACAGCATACCATACTTTGTTTTTGTTTTTTTTAAGCGCATCACTGGAACACGGTGCTGTGTACTTTGCCCACCTGTGACGAGGCAAACTTCCTTGTCTTCCATTCAGGCTGCACTAGAAAAAAAAAAAAAGGCCAGCACGACCAAAACAAATTATGTGAGCGGGCCTGGTGCTGAAACATTTATCTATGTGATCATGCAATAAAGAGCTTTGCGTTCTGAAACGAGTTTGTCAGTGTGTGATAATTTACCTTAATCCTTCTAGAGGATGTTTCTAAACGCATAAAATGATTTTTAATGGTATCCTTCAAACTTGCCGTTATAAGTGCATTCAGTTTAGCTGCTTCTAGAGAAAATAGAAGTTTGTGTGTTCAGGGACAGATTGGATCCTAAACCCAGCTGGGAGTGAGATAATCCAATGAGGGCCCAGGGATACAACTAACAGGGTTCAAGACTTCTTCCACCTTACAAACACAAGTTTTTATTGGAGACCTTTTTATATAACCTCTGTCCTGGTGATGCATTTGAACGGTGCCACAAATGGCAAGTAATCCAATGGGTTTGAACAGTTTCCTGCTCTGTACAAAACTGGGGGGAAAAAAGATGCATGTGCTGCAGGTAGAATAGGGGAAGGCTAAGGGCTTGTTCACACCAACTGCAGAGCAGTGTGTTTTGACACGTTCCAGGCCGTTTTCAAGCCTAAAATGCCTGGGCATTTGCATGTGTTTTTGCTATGTTTTGTTGCGTTCCAGGGCAGAAAAAAATGGGGCATGCTGCAGTTTTTCCACATGCTCTCGAACTCATACCATTGGAGTACATTGGATGCAGTTTTCATCCGTTCTGTAACTGCTCTGCGCTTGGTGTAAACTAGCCTTAAAACTGGTGCCAGCTGTGTCCTGGTTGCAGACTTTCCTCACGTCCTATCTGGTGAAATCCTTGTCGCCAAGACAGTAGATGAAGATAAATCTCTAATTGAGCCCAAAATAAGTGGAGCTGGCTCCTAAAACTAAAGCCTCGATTGGCCAAACTGGCTCCTAAATTCCATATGAATCCATCCCTAATTATTTCCCTTTCTTTGTTATATTTCCCAGATCAATGTCAAAATAAAACATTAAAGGAGAACTATGAGATTAGTGCTTTTCACTCACCTCATAGTTCTAAGCCGACCTGTGACAATGAGACTGTCACAGGTCGGCTCAGTAGATCGGGAGGTGAGCGAACACATACCGGTGTTCGCTCACCTCTCGATCCTGTCACTGCTCTCTGCCGTGACAGGGGAGGGGCTGGATTCTCCCCGCTCCGATACGCCAACGCTGACTGGCGGAACGGAGGGGGCAGGTACAGCTGCCTCTAGATAGGCAGAGCCAGCTGGGTGGATCGCGGCACAATTGTCAGGATCCGCTTCAGCTGCGGGGTCTCAGTATACAGAGAGCTACAGCTCGCAGTATACTGAGCTTAGGGTAACGGGAGGACGCTAGTTTGTGTCCTCCCGTTACCCTAAGGAGAACTATGGGGAAAAGCCTTAACCCCATAGTTCTCCTTTTAAACCTAAGGGTTGTTGCAGCTGTTCATGTCCACATGCTGGACCTCTAACCATGGTGCAGAATAGGGGTGGGCAAACTCTGCCTCTCCCCCGCCCCCCAGCCCCAGCTGTAGTGAAACTACAAATCCCATCATGCATCTGGTAGTCATGTCTGGCTGTGAGACTCTTGCAATGCTTCTTTGGATTTGTAGTTCAACAGCTAGAAGACCAGAGCTTGCCCACCCCTGGTTTAGAAAGCGTTTTTCTATTTTTTTTGTTTTGTTTTACTTAGATTTTGGATACACAGTGTTTTCATCCAGAAAGGATTACACTTGGAGTAGATTGCCATTTTGTTTTAAATGGAAATTGTGTCCTATTAAGCTGATTGGCTTTTTAGCTTTCCTGTAACATCGCTCTGCTCAAAGACAGGTTATTTATGACTTGTTACTTAATCTGATTCTGTTGAAATGTTTAACTTGTTCCACTGAAGTCAGAGAGCAAAGTGCTGCTTGCGTAATCTTAGAAAAAAAAGTTTTGGTAACACTGGTTGAGGGTATTTGCTTTGCCAGTACTAAACGGGTGATGTTCAGTCTTCTGAATTAGTAATCGATCACCTTCTGCAGCTGTGTGTGAAGTGCTGTGTAGCTGACTGCATTCTATAATCAGCCCTGTGGTTATCGGAATATGTGATACAACACAGAGTGTGGTGGATGAAATGTTACCACGTTTTCCATGGCATTTGATCCTTCACTGGTGCAATACCTCTGGGTGATGACTGATTTATTATGCTTAGTTGAGTTCTTTTTCTGCTTCTAGAAGTTAAACATTAATCAACTAGATTACCACTAGTTACTTAAAGAAAAAAAATGGTGACCGCAGTGTTAAACCCCCTTCCTGGACAGGCCATTTTTCAGTATTCAGCGCTGCAGTACTTTGACATTTATTCCTCATACAACGCTGTACGGAAATTCATTTTATACAATTTTTGGGGGACAGATGGAGCTTACTTTTTAGTGGTATTTAGTCACCACTGGGGTTTTTTTATTTGCTTTATAATGAAAAATGTACCGAAAATTTTGGAAAAAAACCCAGTTTTCCCTATGTTATCAAACATCTATCAGCCCCCAATTTTTTGGGTTAAATATTAAAGACGGGATCACGTCGGGTAAATGGACACCAAACATATCAAGCTTTAAAATTGCGCCTGCGAAATTGCAAAAAAATCACCATGCATAAAATTGGCCATAGGCGACGCTTTAAAAGCTTTTACCGCTCATCAGTTTAGTGTTATCAATGACTGGCCCTATAATTATTGCTCCAACGTTCACAGCCATGTGTGGCGCACCCGGCGCGTAGCTACGTTTATAAGTGCGTGCACGTGGGGGACGTGAAACTTTTTTGGGTGTTTTTTTTTTTTTGTTTTTTTTTTTTAATATGAAAAATTTAATTTCCCCCCCCCCCACATTTAACTTGATTGCTATCACATAGGGGACTAAAAAGCTCCCTATGTGATAGCCAATATACAATGTCACGTCCTCTTTATGGAGAGATCGGGGGTCTCCAAGACCCCTAATGTCACCTGGGAACCCCCAAAGAAGCTGATGAAGCAGAGATCTGCTTCACCAGCTTCTCTCTGGCTTTAGCAGCCAAAGAAATTACAGCTAAAGGCGGAAGTGATGTAATACACATCGCTTCCGCCTTTAGAGAGGAAGAGGAGAGATCAGCAGTCCCCTCCGCTGATCTGTATGGAGAGCTGCTGTTCAGGTGTTCTCGGTCCCGGGCACCGCAGGCAGCAGAGGGGGGTGCCGCACTTTGCATCCTCATACAAGCGATCAGACGGCTTTAGAGACGTTATACATATTCCCGGTCGGAATAGTCATCGCACTGTGAATTTATTTTTCACAATATTTTGGCTTTGATTAAAAGACACTTTTTTTTTTTATATGCATTACTTTGTGACAAGTAGTAAGCTAGTACTTGTCCTAGACACAAGTAACCAGTGTACCCTAAGGCCCGGTTCACACCTGGGCGTTTTGTGCCCGAAATCCCATTATTTCCTATGGCTATGGTTCACACCTGGGCGTATTACAGGCCGTATGAACGCGCTACAAAACGTCCTACGCCCGAAGTACATGAGGTTCTTTGGGGCATTTTTGTAGCGCGTTTCCATTGGGATACAGCCAAGTAGCCCTCGGAAATGCGTGTTTGGCGCACATTTTTTACCGCACAACACACACGCATATTCGATATGCCTAGGTGTGAACCCAGCCTTAGGGCCCATATACACCACATCCAGATCATCTCCAGACCACACCAGATTGTGTATGGACTCAAAATGCGTCCTAATATATCCCTATGCTATTTCTGGTCTCTGTTCACACCAGCGCAGTCCAGACCAGAAAAATACTGCTTGCCCTATTTTGTCTGGTCTGGAATGCACTGGAACTGCAGGCAGTTTCACACCATTTTCCGGACCCGATCTGGTCCGGAAAATGTTGTGAACCTGCCAGGGCTGGACAATTCCCAGAAGCCAGGGCTCCTTATATTACAGCTGGTGCTTAACTTTTGTCAATGGAATTGGCACCTGGATTGGGCAGGCTAATTTTCAAAATCATAATCACTTTTCTACCTCTGACTTAAAATGTATTTTTACTTTTGCATTCAAACTTGAGAAAACACTGTGAAGGGAATTTATCAAAACTGGAGCAGACAAAATCTGGAGCAGCTGTGCATGGCAACCAATCAGCTTCTATCTTTCATTTTCAAATCTTGTGA